GGAATCAATCAAATTTCATTTTTATAGAGAAAATGTCTAAGGCTCTTGAGTTAAGGATTCCTTAGGCATCTGCACTTAGGAATTCAATGTATATGGCCCAAGTACCAGATCGGGTTCTGCAAATTCAAGTTCAACCCTGTCTAGTTTCTGAGGTTAAGGTACAAGAGTATACAAACCAGTCTTCTCAAAGACTGTGACAATGTCTACTCTTTAAAATGATTCTTAATCTTGCCCTCCATCCATAAGTAATCACACAGCCTATTACAAGCCTAAATATTACTAGAGTATTCTGTAGTATATATTATAAGCTAAATATTAAATGCATATTTATATACATCAAGGCTATATTTATTGATAAGGCCAGAGCCTACTTACAGAAGTAACTGTGAGTATTTCTTTAATTTGTTGTATATTTTTAATCAAAGAAATCTGAATCAAAACAACAGTGCATTATCTAGTGCACAGCTGGTGGTCATTAAATTGCCGATGTGATCTTATTTTTATGGAATTTTTTAAAGAAAATTTGAACTATGTCTCATAAAAGCCAGGATAGGATTTTGTATGATTGTTGATGAGTAAAATTTATTTCATTGCCTAGCTATACTGTCTTGTAACCTATGAATATTATCTTCTTTTAAAAATAAGCTTGATAGCAACCCAGGGAGCAAGCTGTCAGCCTTGAGAAGTTTGGGAAATCATGATTATTAAAAGTTGCTTACAGAGATAAAATGTGACTCTAGGGAATATTTATTTTTTCTATCATTAAAATCTAAGCCTCTTCGAAACCAATAACAGTGATCATTCAAAAGAAAAACGTGAATTAACTTAAATTAAAGTTTTGCCCCCAAAATACTACAGACCAGATTTTATTGGGACTTTCATATGTTTTCTTTCTCAATATATAGTGGACTGCCAAGAACATTAATAATGCAAATCTGTGTTTGAACACAAATGACTCCCTACAAGGCCTGTTTTGATTATTAATGAAATTAATTATCTGCCTGTTCCATGCAGTTACTGTGGTTTGGAATAACAGTTCATAATGAAAGACTAAGGCAATTTTTAAAAATAGCATGTTTAGTAATACCAATTAATTCTAGCATACAAAGAATCAGTAAGCAAGTATTGTGGAGAAAAAGCCTTCTCTCTTTTTATTCATCATTAAGAAACTCCTCTCCTGTGAGTGTATTTTATTTTCATTTTCCAAACACAGAAAAATAGACTGGGATGTTCAGAAGAGCCACCCATTTTTCCAAACTAGAAAATCACATTTTATCCCATTGCCTACATTATTTTCAATCAAGGAATCTGAGAAGTTATGCTCGCAGTGGAATTGTTTGAGGCCAGCCCCTTCCCAAGGCCCTTAAATTTGCTTTGAAGTATTGAATATTCTGCCTTCTTTCAGAGTTTCAGTGACTACATGTCCTTATAGAAAGAATACTTCATAGCCCAGTGGTTTTATTATAAAAATGCACTTTAGATAGGGTGATTTTATGAATTAGATTAAGGCAAAGACGGTCCACTAGTCTGCGTAAAGAGGTAGAACGTAGAAGCACAGGGTATCCATATGTCCTTGTCCCATAATCTCAGGAAGACTCTAAGTCATTTCCCCCAGAAGCCTTATAGTTCCATGAATGTAGTTTGAAATCTATTTCTTTAGAGAAAATAGAAGTCATTGACATAAAAAAAATCCATGGTAAACATCATGGATTCACCTATCAATTTTCTGATAAGCCTTCCTAATGTAATAAGTTTAAATTGAATGATTATGTAAGACATGTCTTTGTTCTTCTATGGAGGATTGTATGTGTATGTGTGTGTGTGTGTGTGTGTGTATAAATATAGTATATAATTCACATATATGTATATATAGTATATATGTATGTGTATGTGTGTACATATGTGTATATGTGTGTATATATATATAAATGCTAATCTCTGTCTCCAGGAAGGGAGGAGATTGGCACTCCTAGATGGGAGACCATTTCACTGCACTTTTATAAAAGACTTTTGGACACTGCATGAGGTGCTGTCATCATTGATTTGACCATTTTCCACTTACTCTGTCATTGTAACATGCCATTTAAAAGGTTGTTGGTTACAGTTTCTAAGATTGTAATAGTTGCTATGTTCCTGTACCATTAATATTGCTTTATTAACAATTCTTGTTCACAGTAGCACTGTAATTAGTATAATTATTTACCTCAGACCTACTTATTATGGCACATACTTGCAGTAACAAAAGATTCCTGGAAATATCCTCTTCAATATCTTAGATTATTTAGGCTCATACTATCTGAGGTGCCTGGGTGTCTTAGTCAGTTAAGCATTTGCCTTCAGTTCAGGTCATGATCCCAGAGTTCAGGCTCCCTGCTCAGTGGGGAGGCTGCTTCTAGCTCTCTCCCTCTATTCCCCACCTCCCCCTGCACCCCAGCTAGTGCTCGCTCACTCTCTTTCTCAAGTAAATAAATAAAATCTTTGAAAAAAATAAACTCTTTTACTATCTGTAATATTATATCGTAGTACCAGGAAAAAAAACCTACCTCTATTGGCATGTTTCTAGCATAAGTCCCTACTTTGAGGGCTAAATTTGGTGAAAGCCCAATATCTCCATTCTAAAACCCACTGTCTTTGGGTACTTTCAATTAGCAAAGAGTAACTTTCTAATTAAAAAAAAAAAAAAAAAAGCCTGGAACTTTCTGACTTGCTAGTCTAAATAGTAGAGCAGTGATACAAAAAAAAACAAACAAACAAAAAAAAAAACTGGATTCTATCTTGGTCTCTTCTTTAGCGAAGTTTCTCCAGGAGAGTGTTATTCTGAAGTAATTCGCCCTCCCAGGGATGACCAGGGTTTAAATGGCAAGAGAGAATTACAACCAGATATTCCAGTTCATATACCAATTTCCGTCAGTTTGCATTTGTTTTTTGTTTTTAAAGGTAATGCTGGGCAAATTCTTATTTTTAGTCCAGTTTACACACAGGATTTTTTCCATTTATTATGAAATTGTTCTTACCTAGAAATGAAAGGTTGAAATGCTCACAGATTATGTGTCTAAGTGTAATGGTCAGAGTTGAATAAATCAGAGATGAAAAGATCAAAAAAATGAGAACAAAATCATAATTTCATAATTCTGATAGCTGTGGTGATGCTTTTTTATTTTATTTTTATTTATTTATTTTTATTTATTTATTTTATTTTTATTTATTCCATGTGTCCTCTTTTTCTAGTACTTGGTGCCTTTTAAAAATGTATTTGGGGCACCTGGGTGGCTCAGTTGGTTGAGCAACTGTCTTCGGCTCAGGTCATGATCCCGGACTTCCAGGATCGAGTCCCGCATCAGGCTCCCAGCTCCTTGGGGAGTCTGCTTCTCCCTCTGACCTCCTCCTCTCTCATGCTCTCTCTCACTCATTCTCTCTCAAATAAATAAATAAAATATTTAAAAAATGTATTTGAAAGTTACTCTGTTTTTCTAAACATGTACTCTAAATTTAAAAGTTGTGAAATACTTCTGATTATGACAAAAACACTCCTAGGCATTCACTAGGGATCTGTTTATAATTCTTTCTTATTAAAAAAAAAAAAGAAAATATGAAGAATGCAGTGGGCAAGTAAAGTCATATATACTGTATATATTTTAGACTTTATAAACTCATAGCTGAAGAGCAAGTCAACCTGTTTTACTAGTTAAAATACATACAATTTATTACAGATTTTAATTTCATTGTCTTTTACGACTTGACATGGTAAGAGGTTTTGATTCACAGTTTGCAGACACTAGTGTAGCTTAAGAAAGGAAAAACAAGTGGAAAGGCTCTGGTTTATTCAGGTTTTTTTAGGCTGTTATAATGTATGAAATGGGTCTAGTGTGGAGTCAGCATGCAATCAGTTTTGCTACAATCAGTTTTGCTACAATCACGAAATAAAGAGGGAGGGAGAGAAGGGGAGCAGGGGTGGAGGGCAGGCAGGCACAGGCTGAAAAAAAAAAGATTTTAAGAAAGTCAGCTTTGCAAAGGTTTTTCTACAAATTGTGATTTCTCTTCATGTGTTTTTTAAGCCCAGCTAGGTTTTTTTTTTCTATTTTTTAGCATAAAATTCACCCTCCCAATGATTTCCAAGTGTACAGTACAATATTGTCAACCATAACCATGTTGCTGTGCACAGACTCCCCAGAAGCACCACCTACCCCCAACCCTCCGCCATTCCTGCAAGACTGAAACTATACCCATTGAACGATTCCCTGGCTCCCACTGTACCCTCCCCCGGCCCCTTGCCACCACCCTCCAACTTTCTGTTCTGTGTGTTTGACTGCTTCAATACAATCGTGCAAAATTTGTCTTTTTTTGTGATGGACTCATTTCACTTAGCATTATGTCCTCAAGGTTCATCCACGCTGTAGAATGTCAGGATTTGGGGCACCTAGGTGGCTCAGTGGGTTAAGCCTTTGCCTTTGGCTCAGGTCATGCCTTTGGCTCAGGTCATCTCGGGGTCCTGGGATCAAGCCCCACATCGGGCTCTCTGCTTAGCAGGGAGCCTGCCTCCCCATCTCTCTCTGCCTGTTTGTGATTTCTCTCTCTCTCTGTGTCAAATAAATAAATAAATAAAACTTTTGGGTAAAAGAAAAAAAAAAGAATGTCAAGATTTCCTTCTTCTGTTACCGCTGAATAATATTCCGATGTCGTTCTATACCATATTTTCTTTTTTTGTTCATCTTTCTGTGGACATCTAGGTTGCTCTCCCCACCAGCTCTCTCCATGTCATTTTCAATTCAATTGGAAAGTGCAAATTGTTCCACCTCCAGTCTGTCTCCCATTGTTACTTTGCTTTCCTTTGTTTGTTTAGCCAAGTTGTGGAAAATGTGCCTATGTGCTGACTCAATAATGTTGACAATAGATGTTTCTTTCCTGTTAGTGCAGACTTGTAGATAACACTGAGAGCGCCCTGGTCCAGGTGGACTAGCGCTGTGACGTAAGACGTCACGTAAATGCTGATGTCATTGCAGGACGAATCCGCGGCGGCCGACAAGCAGTGTAAGCCAGAGGCGGCCCAGGCCACGTACTCCTCCTCGGCGGTGTCCGGCTCCCAGGAGGTGCTGTACATCAACGGAAACGGAACCTACAGTTACCATAGCTACCGAGGGCTCGGCGGGGGCCTGCTCAATCTCAATGACGCGTCCAGTAGTGGTGAGTCTTTAGTATTTGCAGTGCTTTTTCTGTCCGTTTGGGGATAGCAGATTCTCTAAATCCGAGAGTAAATTTGAACTTAGTGGGATGAGTAAGAGTAAGTGCCCATCGGCTAAACCCATGGCCGTTTCATGTGTCACCCTAGTCTCCCCGCGAGGATAGCTCGGTGTTCTGTTGGGGGTGTCCGAAAGGAGGGGTAGGATTATGCAGCTGAATAATGGATGTTTTACACTCAAGAAAGCTCAGCTAGAGAAATAGCTGATTTTTTTCTAACCAGATAGTTAGACATTCTTCCCCCCCCCCCCCCCCAGAGCTGTAATGCGCTATTCCTGAAGAATAATGACCCATTTTCTCAACGTTCAAAGAGGTTTTTAATTTGGAAAATCTAGGCACCATGAACCTTACTGACTTGATAAAATGCAACTAGTCATTATACTTAAGAACATACGAACGGAAATGACACAAAGAAACAACCGCGGCTCTCCACCCTCCACCTGCCATGAGTGGGGTTCTGAAGCCAGCTCAGACTGGCTCACGCTTGATAAACTTTTAGGAATTTCTTGAGCGTATATTCCAAAGTGATTTCCAAATGTGTCATATAAAAAGAATAAAATATGTGGGTGAATTTCATACAACTGGGTTGTAGGAAAGTTTTTCTAAAATCTACTTAAAATCCAGGGGAAAAATAAGCTCCATTTCACACGCATACTTTCGCATGACCAAAAAAAAATATATACACAAAGCAAAAAATAAATGATAAACTTGGAAAATTATTAGCCACCTACGCTACAGAAGGTTAATAAGCCAGTGCCTAAAGTTCTTCTAAGAAGAAAGAAATTCCCAAACTATATATTAAAAAGTAAGGCTAGTAAATGAATGCATAGTTCTCAAAGAAAACAATGCAAATATGGGTAAATATGGGTAAAGTTACTTAACCCCACTCCTAATAAGAGAAATACAGATAAGCAAAAATTGAAATATTAACACAATACTCTTTTGACAAGGCTGTAGGGGAAATGAGTCTCATGCATAGCTTGTAGAAATGCAAAAAGTTGGGGTGGAATTTGGCAATATCTAGAAAAATTGATTAGACATTTATCACTCAGTCCAGCAATCTCTTGAGGAATCTCTTGTTAGGAATTTATCTTAAAGACATATGGGCAAACATACAAAAAGACATATATGCACAAGGCTATTTATTATAGTGTTATTTATAAATGCAAGAAAAAGGATTACCAATAAAAATGTTCCCAATAAAAATGTCTTATCAACTGAAGGTTAGTTGATTCGTTTCAAGTACATCCAAACAAGATAGTAACATGCTGATATAAAAAGTGATTTAAAAAATCTCTTTATGCACTCCAAATGCTGAAAAGTACCTATAGTATGCTAATATTCATTAAAGAAGGATTTATATAATTAAAGTTTACATAGAGGCAGGAATGTGGGAGAACGTGTGGGGAAAGGAATGTAAGCTGGAATTGTAAGTAAACTTGGTTTTTATATTTTGTTTTATAAATTTAACTGAACAATTTAAATACATAATTATAAATGAAACTGACTTTACGGATTCCTGATAGTGACAGGAAAATGATGCAAATGAACTTTATCTTTTTAATGAGTGATTGGCATAGCCCCCACACAGAGGAAATTTTCCAAGTGATCTCAGAATCCATAATTTGACTCCACAGCATGTAAGTCTGTCATAAAACCTTAAACTATTTCCAGTAATCATATTATTATTTTGGGACTGTTTGTGTATTGTGGCTTAAAGCAAATTTATAATTATGTTGATGTCAGTGAAAGTTAGAATTTTTAGCAGGAGGCAAAGCAGATCTAGATGTAAAAGCAATGCGTTCTAACAAGGACTCTATAATCTCGTATTTGAATTGGTAGTATCAGTGAGATATTTTCTACTTAAAAATGCCTAGAAATAAAGATGAATTTTAATTTGAATATTTGAAATAGCCTTCGTGGGCTTTGAATATATTGGGGAAGGAATTGCTTTATTAATGTCAAAGGAGTATATAGTCTAGAAAATCACTTACCTGTGTAATACTGGAAATATGCTCTGAGTGTGTTCAGGGGTGACTCTGGAAAGCTGGGGCTGGCTCTTTGGTTTGCTTTGAAATTAAAGGGGCCCTAACAACAGGATCACTGGCTTTAGTCTGAATTAATTGCCTCCAAATCAAAAGAGGGGAGCCTCAAGTAGAAGGGAGAAAAAAAGAAAACGAAGTTTCAAGTGTATATTCAGTTTTTCCAGAGCTAATGAACCTTCTCAGTTGTTTTCAAGTGTTATTTGTATTTAGACAGCAAATCAGCAGGAATGAGAAAGTTCAATGCCAGAAAGGGACAGCATAAAAGCTGAGCATTCCTTTAGCCAATAAAGCTGTAAACTAACAATTCTTTTAAAATATTTGACAAGGGAATAAGAAATGATAGGTAGTTCAGAAGTCAACTACCAAATCAAAACATTTAGGGGAAAAGTGTATTGAGTGTAGATTTTATTGACAGAAACTGTTTTTTAGACTTAAATAGTCATTTGTTTATTAAGGTAACTTATTTAACATCAAGTAATAGTAATACTGATCACTTTAATGAGTCCTTTTGGTACTTCATGTAATTTCCATTTATTCCTTACACAGTCCTCTGAGATCTGTTTGTAATTTTGTGGAAAAATTTTATAAAATTGAACTTGCCCCAACTAAAAAACAACAACAACAACAAAACAACTTAGGCACTACTTTCTTTTTTTCCTAACATGATTGAAACCCATTTTGTGAGGCTCAGTGAGTAACTTTCCCAAGGTCCCTCCTTAATAGAGGGAGGAGCCAGGATCTGAGCACAGGCCTTCTGACACACTCTGAACCACTGAGCTAACAAACTGTGCAAGGGAGCAAATGGTGAACTATGTAAGAGCCTCTGGTAAGAACTAATCAATTTCTCTCCAGAGACACTCCTATTCTGGACATTTTATTTAATGGGTGAATCATATAATATATGGTTTTTATGTTGGATATTTTTCATTTAGCAAGCTTTTATTTTATTTTTTTAAAGATTTTATTTATTTATTGAATTGGTAGTATCAGTGAGATATTTTCTACTTAAAAATGCCTAGAAATAAAGATGTATTTTTTTTAAGATTTTATTTATTTATTTGACAGACAGAGATCACAAGTAGGCAGAGAAGAAGGCAGAGAGAGAGGAGGAAGCAGGTTCCCCGCTGAGCAGAGAGCCCGATGTGGGGCTCGATCCCAGGACCCTGGGATCATGACCTGAGCCGAAGGCAGAGGCTTTAACCAACTGAGCCACCCAGGTTCCCCTAGCAAGCTCTTTTAAAGGTTCATCTATATTACAGTATGAATCAATACTTCATTCTTTTTTATTGTCAAATAATGTTCCATTCTGTGGCTATGCCATGTTTTGTTTAGCCATTCATTGATGGGAACTTGGATTTTTCTCACTTTGTGGTTACTATGAATAATGCTATAAACATTTATGTACAAGTTTATGTTACATATGTTATGATTCTTTTGGGTATATACCTAGAAGTGGAATCGCTGGTTCATTGGTTCATTCATATGGTAACTCCATGATTAACATTTTGAGGAAATAACAGACTGAATATGAGATGTCTTTTCATTTGTTATCAGTCTTTAAACATTTTTATTAACTATGACTTATAATATTTATAGTATAGGCTTTGTATTTCTTTTATGGCTGTTTCCTTTTGTGATGCTATTGTAGATAGAATGTTTTCCTTAAAATAGTATTCTATATTTTTCTATGTTTGGAGGAGTTGTAAAGTAGTGCTATTAATTCTTTAAATATTTGGTAGAATTCAGGAGTGGTGATATCTGTATCTGGGTTTTTCTGAGGGGTTGTTGATCACTAACCCAGTCTCTTGTTATAGGTCTACTTATATTGTCAGTTTCTCCTTGAGTCAGTTTAGGTAGTTGTGTATATCCAGAAATATGTCCATTTCAACTTAGTCATCTAATTTATTGACACAGTTCTTAGGATTCCTTTATAATCCTTTCTTTTTTCATAAGGTTGGTAGTGATGCTCCCTTTGTAATTTCTTTTTTTTAATTTTAATTCCAGTTGACTTAACATACAGTGGCATGTTACTTTCAGATGTATAATAGAGTGATTCAGTAATTTTATGCATTACTCAATGCTCATCAAGAAAAGCATATTCTTAATCCCCTTCATCTATTTCACTGATCCCTCCATCCACCTCCCCTTTAGTAACCATCAGTTTGTTCTCTATTTTTGTTTTGTTTTTGTTTATTTATTTTTGTTATGTTATGTTAGTTACCACACAGTACATCATTAGTTTTTGATGTGGTGTTCCATGATTTATTAAGTATAACACCCAATGCTCCCTGCAATACGTGCTTCCCACAACCAGGCTCATGCATCCCCCTACCACAATGTCCACAGTCTCTCATGATTTGTCTCCCACTCTGGTTTCCTCCAATTCACTTTTCCTTACCTTCTCCTAATATCCTCCCTGTTATTCCTTACATTCCACAAGTAAGTGAAACCATATGATAGCTGACTGTCTCTTCTTGAATTTCACTCAGCATAATCCCTTCCATTCCCGTCCATGTTGATGCAGAAGTTGGGTATTCATCCTTTCTGATGGCTGAGTAATATTCCATTGTATTTATGGACCACATCTTCTTTATCCATTTATCTGTTGAAGGGCATCTCGGCCCTTTCCACAGTTTGGTTATTGTGGACATTGCTGCTATGAACATTAGGGTACATATGGACCTGCTTTTCTCTACATCTGTATCTTTGGGGTAAATACCCAGTGGTACAATTGCCAGGTCATAAGGTAGTTCTATTTTTAATTTTTGAGGAATCTCCACACTGTTTGCCAAAGTGGCTGCACCACCTTATATTCCCACCAACATCCTCTCCAACATTTGTTGTTTCTTGCTCTGTCAATTTTTGCCATTCTAACTGGTGTAAGGTGGTACCTTAATGTAG